ACACACACACACACACACACACACAGACCCACACACACCCCCGAGGCAGGAGGAGGAGAAACACACACACACTCACAGACACCCCCGAGGCGGGAGGATGAGGAACCCTGACCCACACACACAGACCCACACACACACAGACCCACACACACCCCCGAGGCGGGAGCATGAGGAACACACACTCACACACACTCACACCCCCGAGGCAGGAGGAGGAGAAACACACACACACACGCTCAGACACACTCACACCCCCAAGGCGGGAGGATGAGGAGAACACACACAGACACACACAGACACACCCACGAGGTGGGAGGATGAGGAACACTCACACACACTCACACCCCGAGGCAAGACACACACACTCACACACACAGACACACACACACCCTCTGAGGCAAGACACACACACACTGACACACACACTCACACCCCGAGGCAGGAGGATGAGGAACCCTCCAGGTCTCCAACACAGGTGTGTGCACACACAGACACACCCCGAGGCAAGACACACACACACTCGCACACCAAGGCAGGAGGAGGAGGAACCCTCACACACACACACACACCCCCAAGGTGGGAGGATGAGGAAGACACACACACACTCACACACACCCTGAGACGGGAAGATGAGAAACACACACTCATACACCCCCGAGGCAGGAGGATGAGGAACACACACTCACACACACCCCCAAGGAACACACACTCACACCCCGAGGTGGGAGGATGAGGAACCCTGACACAGACACACACACCCCCAGACCCACACACACCCCCGAGGCGGGAGCATGAGGAACACACACTCATACACACTCACCCCAAGGCAGGAGGATGAGGAACACACACTCATACACACTCACACCCTGAGGCGGAAGGAGGAGAAACACACACTCACACACACACTCAGACACCCCCGAGGAAGGAGGATGAGGAACCCTGACACACACACACCCAGACCCACACACACCCCTGAGGCAGGAGGATGAGGAACCCAGACCCACACACACACACACACACCCCCAAGGCGGGAGGATGAGGAACACACACACACACACACACACACAGACCCACACACACCCCCGAGGCAGGAGGAGGAGAAACACACACACACTCACAGACACCCCCGAGGCGGGAGGATGAGGAACCCTGACCCACACACACAGACCCACACACACACAGACCCACACACACCCCCGAGGCGGGAGCATGAGGAACACACACTCACACACACTCACACCCCCGAGGCAGGAGGAGGAGAAACACACACACACACGCTCAGACACACTCACACCCCCAAGGCGGGAGGATGAGGAGAACACACACAGACACACACAGACACACCCACGAGGTGGGAGGATGAGGAACACTCACACACACTCACACCCCGAGGCAAGACACACACACTCACACACACAGACACACACACACCCTCTGAGGCAAGACACACACACACTGACACACACACTCACACCCCGAGGCAGGAGGATGAGGAACCCTCCAGGTCTCCAACACAGGTGTGTGCACACACAGACACACCCCGAGGCAAGACACACACACACTCGCACACCAAGGCAGGAGGAGGAGGAACCCTCACACACACACACACACCCCCAAGGTGGGAGGATGAGGAAGACACACACACACTCACACACACCCTGAGACGGGAAGATGAGAAACACACACTCATACACCCCCGAGGCAGGAGGATGAGGAACACACACTCACACACACTCACACCCCCGAGGCAGGAGGATGAGGAACACACACTCACACACACCCCCAAGGAACACACACTCACACCCCGAGGTGGGAGGATGAGGAACCCTGACACAGACACACACACCCCCAGACCCACACACACTCCCGAGGCGGGAGCATGAGGAACACACACTCATACACACTCACCCCAAGGCAGGAGGATGAGGAACACACACTCATACACACTCACACCCTGAGGCGGAAGGAGGAGAAACACACACTCACACACACACTCAGACACCCCCGAGGAAGGAGGATGAGGAACCCTGACACACACACACCCAGACCCACACACACCCCTGAGGCAGGAGGATGAGGAACCCAGACCCACACACACACACACACACCCCCAAGGCGGGAGGATGAGGAACACACACACACACACACACACACAGACCCACACACACCCCCGAGGCAGGAGGAGGAGAAACACACACACACACGCTCAGACACCCTCACCCCCCCAAGGCGGGAGGATGAGGAGAACACACACAGACACACACAGACACACCCACGAGGTGGGAGCACACTAAGCCAACCCCGAGGAAGGAGGATGAGGAACGCTGACACACACACACCCAGACCCACACACCCCCCTGAGGCAGGAGGATGAGGAACCCAGACCCACCCCCCCCCCCACACCCACACAGACACACCCCCCCAAGGCGGGAGGAGGAGAAACACACACTCACACACACTCACACCCCGAGGCGGGAGGAGGAGAAACACACACACACACTCACACAGACACCCCCGAGGCGGGAGGATGAAGAACACACACAGACACACACACAGACCCACACACACACCCCCGAGGCAGGAGGATGAGGAACACAGACACACACAGACACACACAGACACACACAGACACACACAGACACACACAGACACACACAGACACACACAGACACACACAGACACACCCAAGGCGGGAGGATGAGGAACACACACTCATACACACTCACACCCCGAGGCAGGAGGATGAGGAACACACACACACACTCACACCCCAAGGCAGGAGGAGGAGAAACACACACACACTCACACCCCAAGGCAGGAGGAGGAGAAACACACACACACTCAGACACCCCCGAGGCAGGAGGATGAGGAACCCTGACCCACACACAAACACACACACACACACCCCCGAGGCAGGAGGACGAGGAGAACACAGACACACACACAGACACACACACAGACACACACACAGACACACACACAGACACACACACAGACACACACACAGACACACACACAGACACACACACAGACACACACACAGACCCCAAGGCAGGAGGCCGAGGAACCCTCCAGCTCTCCCAACACAGACACTTTTCACCCAGGAGCCATCACACCCAGCCCCCACCATCTGCCCCACGTGCCCGGGGGGGGGACACAGGAGCACTTTGTGCATGGCCACCCGACCCCAGCCCGTAGCCAGGGGGAGGACTTGGCCACTGGCACCACTGCTGGGCTGGCCAGGAGGGGAGAGGGGCTGAGCAGCACCTCCTGGGCCACAGGGAGCTCTGCCCCGAGGACACAACCCCTTCCCAGGAAGGTGGCCATCAAAGAACCATGAGATGGTGGAGGTTGGAAGGGACCTTCCAGATGGTGGAGTCCAACCATCAACCCAACGATGACAAACCCACCATCCATCTTCCCTCCATGGAATGGTGGAGGTTGGAAGGGACCTTCCAGATCATGGAGTCCACCCATCAACCCAACAATGACCAACCCACCACTGACCCATGTCCCTCAGCACCACATCTGCCAAGTTTTGAAGACCCTCCAGGGATGGGGACTCCACCACTGCCCTGGGCAGCCTCTGCCAAGGCTTCACAACCCTTTCCAGGAGGAAATTCTTCCCAAACTCCATCCTCAACCTCCCCTGGGGCAACTTGATGCCATTTCCTCTTGTCCCATGGCCTGTTCCTTGGGAGAAGAGACCGACCCCCCCGGCTACACCCTCCTTTCAGGGAGTTGGAGAGAGCCAGAAGGTCTCCCCCACCACAAGTGGGGACCCCCCGGGGATGGATACCAGCCCCCAAACTCTTTCCCAAATCTCCATGATTGATCTGGGCGATGGGATCAAGCTCAACCTGATGGAAGTTTGCTGATGACACCAAACGAGAGACCTTCTTGCTCTCTCCAACTCCCTGAAAGGAGGGTGTAGAGAGGTGGGGGTCGGTCTCTTCTCCCAAGTCACAGGCGACAGGACAAGAGGAAATGGCCTCAAGTTGCACCAGGGGAGGTTCAGGCTGGATATTAGGAAACATTTTTTCACCAAAAGGGTTCTCAGCCATTGGAATGGGCTGCCCAGGGAGGTGGTGGAGGCCCCATCCCTGGAGGTGTTCAAAAGCCGGGTTGATGTAGTGCTGGGAGGTCTGGTTTAGTGATGATGCTCCTTGTTTGTTGTGTGGGTGTCTATTTTTGTCAGTTAGGTTGATGGTTGGACAAGATGATCTTGAAGGTCCCTTCCAACCTAGAAGATTCTGTGGGGAAGGGGACACCTGGGGAGGGAGAACCACCCTGGGGGAGGAAGCCCTGGATGGGCTGGAAGAGCAGGATGACAAGAACCTCATGAAGCTCAACGAGGATGAGCGTGAGGTCTCACACCCAGGGACACATCACCCAAGGGAGCAGCTCCTTGGGAAGGGACCTGGGGGTCCCTGTGAGCGAGCAGTGGGGCTGCTGTGGCCAAGAACCCCCCTCGGGGACACTGGGCTGTGTCACCAAGGGTGTCACCCACAGGGAGAAGGAGCCACCATCCCACTCTGCTCAACACTGGAACACGGGGCTCAGTTTTGGGTCCCCACTGCCCAAAAAACGCCATGGTCGGGGCTGGAGAAGGCCCAGGGAAGGGCCACCAGGATGATCCAAAGCCGGGGAAGGTGCCACCTGGGGAAAGGCTGAGAGAAGGGGGTTTGTTGGGCCCCGAGAAGGGTCAGGGCAGAGCTGGGCACCACGTGACGGGTCCAAGTCATTCCTGGGGACATTCCCATGGGACACAAGAGGAAAATTCATCCCCATGAGATCAGCCCCTGGAGGCATCTCCCCGGGGAAGTGGTGAATTCCCCAAAATTGGCCACTTTTAAGGACAAGGAGCTGGGGCCACCTCATCCAGAGTGGGCTTGTGCCGTGGGGGGTTGGACTAGATGATCCCTGAGGTCCCTCCCAACCTGAAATTCTAAGGTTTTGGGATTTTTGGGGGGGTTTGGAGGAGCTGGAGCAGGTCCCACCTGTACTGCCTGGCTCTGTCCATGTACTCGTGCTGCTCCATCCCCTGCGAATCCGCTGCCGACACGTCGATGATGTTGCTGGAGGGGGGAGGAGAGAAGAGACAAACAGGTCCCAACCTGCTTCCAACCGCTCCCCTCAAACCCCCCCACCACCCTGACGAGGTGGAAGGGGGGGTCCAGGACTTGGACACCCCCAAAATGAACCTCTGGGGGCTCTTAGGAGGCCAAATTTGCAAGAGCTTGCCAGGTTGGAGGGGCTACATGCCAAGAGGGAGATGCCAAGGATGGTTTGCCTGGAATTGGGTAGATGTGGATGGAGGAATTGGGGGGTTTTGGTCTCATGACACTTCAGGGGGGTGGAAACCTGGGCTCAGAGCTGCTTGGGGAAGGAGGTTCCTCCATGCCATGAGGATCCGTGCTGGGGCCAACACTGTTTAACATTTTTATCAATGATATAGACAGGGGATTAAAGGCACCATCAGCAAGTTTGGGGATGACACCAAGCTGTGTGGTGGTGTGGATACACCAGAGGGATGGGATGTCATCCAAAAGGACCTGGACAGGCTGGAGAGGTGGGCCCAGGTGAACCTCATGAGGGTCAACAAGAGCAAATGCAAGGTTCTGCACCTGGGCCAGAACAATCCTCGCCATCAATACAGACCAGGGGATGAGGTATTAGAAAGCATCCCTGAGGAAAGGGACCTGGGTATGCTGGTGGATGAGAAGCTGGACATGAGCAGGCAGTGTGCACTTGCAGTCTGGAAGACCAATCACATCCTGGGCTGCATGAAAAGAAGTGTTGCTAGCAGGTCCAGAGAGGTGATTCTTCTGCTTTACTCTGCTTTGGTGAGACCTCACCTGGAGTATTGTGTGCAGGTCTGGAGCCCTCAATA